GCCAGAAGCTCTGACCGTAGAGTTCCTGATGATTCCTAGACTCTTACCATAAAGTTTCTGGCAATTGCTAAAGCGGCCCTTTTCACTTCCAGGTAGCTCTAGGAATAGCTGGGAACTCTATGGTCAGAACTTATTTATTTAATTAATTAATTTGTACCACGCACACACACACACATCCTCCCCGCCAAAGCGGGCTCAGGGCGGCTCACATAAAATGCCATTAAGCAAATAGTACAGAGAAATGGATAAAATGAATTATAAATATAAACATAAACCACAACATAAAGTGCTAGTGCATGTCATGTGGCGATGGTGAGGCATTCAGTAGCCTACAGTGTAGTCAGCAGGCAACTCAGTCTGAGCCATATTGGCGTATGTAGGCTGTTGATGGTGGCATTTGTGTTGGGGCCAGGGCCTCAGAGTTGGTTGGGTGCATCTCACTAATCAAAGGCCTGGTGGAAGAGCTCCATCTTGCAGGCCCTGCTGCACTGTAAAAGGTCCCACAGGGCCCTGATGTCTTCCACCGGTATGGAGCCGCCCCTGAGAAGGCCCTGGTCTTCGTTGAAACCAGCCTGGCTTCTTGAGGCCAAAAAGCCAGAGACGGGGTCACAGTGTGGAGATTCATGCCAACAAATAAAAAAAAACACTGTGATAAAATTAACAATGACACATTTTAATAATTTATTTATTTATTTATTATTCACATTTTTATCCCGCCCTCCCCGGATTCTGTGAGCATCAATTTGTGAAGCTATTAATCGGACAATATAGTTAGGAAATTCTGACATAAGCAAAACAAAGTCCAACATAATCATATCCTCCTCACTGAGCACACTGGTTTTTGCACTCATTTCACCAATCTTCCTCATGAGTGGTCTTATAAAGTTGGAAGGCGTCAACCTCTAGGGTCAGCTTAGTTTCTTTTTTTAAACAATATTTTCTTCTTTGTCAAATTATCCTGTAAAAAGCATAGTATAAGGAGTGGAAAAAGACATGAAGCTGAATGGAATAGTTTTGTTATCATTTTTAACTAGAATCATTTTAGACTTACCTTCAGTTCCATTGCAAGTACTTGAATAGGAGCAAGCCAATGACTAAATTTCTAGTCGTATGAATAGCCAAGGCCTTATTTTCCTTTTTCGTTTTTCTCCTGGGACACTGCCCCCCAACACCCCTCCCACTGGTTGTCTGGCAACCCTACCAGAGATGCGGTAATCAGGTTGCCCTTTGCTCAGAGGTCCATCAGCCGAAGCAGAGATAGGCAAAACGAAAGCAGAGGACTCTGAAGCGGTCTGGCAGTGTTCCTTCCCTATGTGTGTAGAAGAAGCCTTGCAGTTCTTTGGGTTTAGAGGATTCTGGGGTATTTGCTAGGACAGTGGACTCCACGAGGTGGGAGGGACCCTCTGGTAGGTCGCAGAGCTCCCCCTGCTGGGCGAATGAGTAACTGTTGCTTCGTGGAAGGATAAGCGAAGGCACGGGCGTAGATAACAACCAGGGAGCTCTCTTTGCCCTTTAATGCTCTTGGTTTTAGCCCACCAAGCGTCAGGCTCCTCCTCTTCTCGCTGTTGCAAGCATGAAAACTTCCTTCGATATGGTGTGTTCGTGGTGGTTGTGGTGTTTTTATTGTGCCCCCGTACCTTATCGTTTTTTGTGTCGTTGGCATTTTGTTTCCTATTACTGAAGCAAATAAATAAAAAAATTAATGCAAAGGAGAAGGGGGTAGGTAGCGAAGTTTGTATAAAAGAAACCGTCTAGCCTAACATAACGAGATATACCACAGATGTACGAATGCCGTGATCACGTGATTTACACGAGACCGTTTTTTAAATCGCTTTTTACGAGGGCGCAGTAAAACAAGCAATAAAAGCGATGAGTAGGGCTCCTTGCGAAAGGGGAGGTAATGTGTTTGGGCCAGACCTGATTCTCTCCCGGTTGCCTTTCTTCTCAGGGCTCAATTGGACTGCAGAGAACCGGAAGCCTGCCCCGGAGGCGTGGGGATCGCCTGGCCACCAGGACGGCACAGCGCCCCCTCTCAGTCCACGGTACGGGTTATCTAGGCCAGGGGAGGCGTGCCAGTTCTGGGCTGGGAAATTCCTGGAGATTTGGGAGTGGATCCTGGGAAGGGTGGCTCAGCAGGGATGAGGGGTGTCAAACATACGGCCCACAGGCCGGAAGCGGCCCATCCAGGGCTGTTATCTGGCCCGCGAGCAACGGATCATCCCCTTTACTGCCAGATGACAGAGGCTGTGCATTAGGTCTCTGTATACTGTCCCAGTGCTAATGCATAATGGGTAGTGGAACCGGGAGGGCGGGCATCAGGGAGATACGTTTTAAGCATGCTTGTATGTGGAGTCAAAAACGATATCGTTAATTGGGTTTACCTGTGTCCTTCATAAAGTTTATATCCCCGGTACCTGGCATTACGTTTTACGGTACACATGGCCCGGCCCGACAATGTGACGTTTATGTCAGATCCAACCCTCGTGACAAACGAGTTCGACACCCCTGCTGGAGTCTGCCTTCCAAAGCAGCCGTTTTCTTAAAGGAGATCTCATAAACAGTCTGCAAGTCAGCTGGGAGAACTTCTGGCCTTACGAGGCAGCAGGGAGCCCCAGCAGCAGAAGAAGGGAGCAGTGTGGGAACTCTCGGGAGACGTCTTTGGCAGGGCTGCTGCTCGGAGACACCACCGTGCCCCCTGACAACGATCACCTCTGGACCCAGTCCCATACCCCACCCAGACCCAAGCTGAACATCCTAGGAAGACACATGTGATTTTGCAAACTCCATAGGGGCTCGGGGTGACTAAAGTCCCTGGAACATCTCCCCTTAGTCTCCTGGCTCTGCCGGAAGTCTTGCCTTTGGCCCGCATTTCTGGACGCTTCCCACAGTTTTGGAAGGCTGTGGTCTCTCTGGGCTTGGAGTTTTGGGGCTCTGACGGAGCCTCGTTCGGTCTCTCTGGGCTTCTGGGAGTTTTGGGGCTCTGACGGAGCCTCGTTGAGAATGCTCGTGGGGGTGCTCATGTCTTTTCTTGTCTCTCCCCCCCAACCCATTCCCAGGTGCCCTGGACCCCAGCGTACTGGCAGTGCAGCTCTCTGGAGGGGGCAACGGGTCCTACCTGGGTGGCACAGGCCTGCAGTACTCACGTCTCAACAACCCCCTCTTCCAGCTGTTGGGTGGCCAAGGAGCCGTGGGCCAGCTGGGAGGGACCACTCAAGGAGCTTACAGGTGAGTACGGGCCCTTCTCATAGCCTTTCCCCTGCGAATGTCTGTCTCCTAGGATTCCATTTGCCTAGTAACCTCCGGGAAATTGTGGCCATTGCACTCTGATGCTCCTGACCAGTGGGTGGAAACTGGGTGGGGGTGCTGTCTTCCTGGGGAGAAAAATTAAAAAAGAAAGAGAAGGCCTCGTCTCCTTACAGGAAGTTCTTACCATAGAGTTTCTGGCGATTCCTAGAGTTACCCTTGTGACTTCTGGGTTGCTCTAGGAATCACCAGGAACTCTATGGTTCGGACTTCCTACAAGGAGACGAGGCCTTTTCATTTTAATCCTGGGAAACTGCCCCCCCCCCCGGTCTGCCATGGAGGTTCACTAGGTGGCCTTGGGCCTGACATTCTCTCTCAGCCTGACTAGGCTTCCCATTCCCCAGGTGGGGGTGAAGGATCTCCTGCTTTGGGGGGCTTCTGCCCACCCCCAAACAGTGACATTGCTGTGCAACGTCCCCGATGCAATGATGTCACGCGGAAGTGCCGATATCACGCCGGGGACATCACATGGCAACACTCTGGTTTGAGGGTAAAACTCTATGGTCTGAGGGCAATTTTACCATAGAGTTTTGCCCTCAGACCAGAGCATTGCCACACAGCGTCCCCAATGTGATGATGTCACTTCCACGTGATATCATCGCAGCACGACATTGCACAGTGGCAGTGCTGTTTGGGGGTGGAGCCCCGCTCCCAGAAGGCTCCCTCCCTGTCCCACCCCCCACCGGCGCATGGAGAGTACCTGGCAACCAGTGTTCCCTCTAAGCTGAGTTAGTGTGAGCTGGCTCACAGTTTTTTAACCTCCAACTCACATATTTTTCTCTTAGCTCAGGAAGGAGGGTTCCAGAGCAAACTAATTTATGCAGTAGCCAAACTACATGTTCACAACTTTAATGCCAGTAGCTCACAAAGCCTAACCTACCTCGTAGGGTTGTTGTGAAGATAAACTGGAGGAGGGGAGGATGATACTGAAGAGGCTTACTAAAGTT